GTCTTTGCAAAAACTCCCAAGCTGTCTCACAGCTGACACTTTCTTGTGCCCTTTCCTATGTATTATATTTAAGAAATATAAAACGACGCGCATGTCTCTGTCCTCTGATATAAACACGGTGGGAGTTCGAAAAAAAAATGAGAGAAGCAAGCTTAGCGTAGCGAGTGTTTCTCTTGCTTCTCAAGTATTTTTCAACTCCCACCGTGTTTATATCAGAGGACAGAGACACAAGTGGCCGTTTTATATTTCTTTTATAAAAATTTTCGTGCGAAAAGCAAATTTTGCCGGTAAGCCGTGTCTCTGTCCTCTGATATAAACACATTCATCAGCCAATCAAAGCGTGCGTTATATATCGAAAAATTTTATAACACATTGTGGTGACATTTATGACTCCTATTTCTACACTACAGGTAGTTTTAAAGCTGGTGAAGATGGAAACATATTAAAAAAGACATCGGAAAAGGAAAAAGACTGTCTTATTAAACTAATGAAGGATATCCTAAGACCTTATGTACCAGAATACAAACGAGAGGTTCAAAACAATGGTGAAAGTATCCTTTTCTGTAGTAAAATTAATGAGAAGATATAGGTATATATGTGACAAAGACAAAGATAAAGTAATTCTTCTATTTACAGCTTCAAGCACCCTTGCTGTTGCCATAATTACCATCAGATATGATGCAAGTAAAARYTTGTAGATRAATGTACAATGCATAAAACGTTCYTCAATCCACACCCTATTTGTCATGTAATTTAGGTACAAGTTCAATTCTTAAATTCCTTAATGAATACTGTAGATTACATTGAAATGCAAGACTTATTGCAAGAATTTGAAAATCCTTGTATAATGGATTGTAAAATGGGAGTAAGGTAAGAAATATCCAGTCTCCTTCACATCCCTTTTCACTTTAAGTTACCCGAGTGTGYCCCTMTTTTTGAAAGAAGTGGAGCATGGATCCCAAGAGAAAAAYATCTGCAGAGGAGACTAGGGAATCAAATGACCATGKGAATGAAATAACTTGACARCACCCCCTCCCCCTTGGATTTCCAAAATCAMAGGCCTCCTCACCCATTTCCGATATGTTACCCATTGTAGTGATATGGATATTTTCTGAAATGACACATTATCAAATTATATTTATTGAAAATAGGGAAAGATATATGAACTATGAGACTGACATCAGTTTTCCTTATCCTAGAACATATCTTGAGGAGGAAATAGCAAAAGCAAAGAGCAARCCAAGAAAGGTACAATCTGTTTGACATTTATTGCAACTTTTACCCAAAACCAGCAAGAGTGTTTTKGGGTTTCCAATTAAGAWAGAAAGTTATATTGTTGTGGAGAGAAAATTATTTCTCTTTTCCTTAGCACTATTACTCTTCAAAATGATTCTGTCATTTGAAATTTCATCAGTCTCTTTCAAGTTTCAATTAAATGKAAATTTACACTGTGTAATCAATGAGAGCTGAAGATGACTGTCTTTTACCTTTTAAGTTACTGTCAAAAAGAATGTGCAGACATCATGCAACCTTAAGTTCATCTATTTTTCCAACAGGATTTATATCAGAAAATGGTGGACATAGATCCRTCAGAGCCAACAGAAAGTGAGCATATTGCAAAAGCAATAACAAAACCAAGATATATGCAATGGAGGGAAAGACTCAGCTCCTCAGCAACTCTGGGATTTAGAATTGAAGGAATYAAGGTAAGATAAAATTCAAAGAGACAATGAAGCAACTTAAAAGCCACAGCATCTTGCAATACTCTGCTCTAGTAAGCTTTCCTTATCCCTTCACAAAGAACTAAACCAAAGAAGTTTCTATGAAACACAAGATTTTGASCCACCAACAGCCAAAGCCATTTATTATAAACAGGTTTCCATGTAATATGCAACAGCTCTGCTGCAATAATGAATTAATATGAGTGCAGTCTAAGCAGAACCAATCATTTATTAAAGATTTGTCAAATAATTAATTATTACTGGATACAAATCCATTTATTTCTCCTATTCACAATCTCTGTATGTGATACTGCAACAAAATCTTGTGTGGTACAGACTTAGCATCTTCCTGCATTTTTATTGTCCAGAATGGTGATAGTAAACCCAACAAAGACTTCAAGAAAACCAAAACAATAGAAGATGTGGCAAAAGTATTTACAGAATATATTGAAAATGATGCACAACTTAGAGTAAGTAATTTTCATTGAGACTCCCTGATTGATTTATTGTTGATTGATTAACTGATTGCTTAACTGATTAACTACTACTGATTGGTTGACAAAATGATTGATTGATTGATTTCATTAATTCATTGATGGTTGATTGATTGATTGATGGATGAGTGGATGSATTAATTGGTTGCATGTTTATTGATTCCTTTATTTGCTTTTAATATCTGTGTTGGTTTGGTTRGTTGATAAGCTTATCTATAATGGATTTAATGTCGTATTTTCTAAATGTATAACATTATTGTCTACTTTTAGATGAAATATCTTAGGAGACTCAAAGCAATTCGAGCAACACTAGAAGCTTCATGTTTCTTCAGAACTCATGAAGTAAGTTGAGCAAGACTTAATGTCAATAAAATGTCAATGACARAATATCCACAAAGTGAATTCTCCTTGTTCATTTGCCAACAATATGATTAGAAATATGCACTCAATATACACCACTTTCTATTTGTCTCATATTGCACCTTAAACTTAAAACCCAGTTCAACCCTTGCTCTAAGCAAAATTATAAAGTATTAAAAAWATATAACAAAATTTAGGTTTCTTCAGKTTTTGCTCTTTCTYAGACTATTCTGGCTCTAAAGCCAAAGAGCTTTCATCTACCGCCAGAAAGAAATGTTAACAGTTTTGATTGACAACTGTCAATCAAAGATAGTTGCCAATTATTAGTCTTACTGTCATTAAAAATGATAAATGAATTTAGTTTTTTTCATTACTATTTCAGTTGATTGGGAGTTCACTATTATTTGTTCACGACAGCAATGGTGCCGCTAGCATATGGATGATAGACTTTGGGAAAACAGTTCCACTTCCTGATGACGTCGCTATTGACCACAGATCAGAATGGAAAGAAGGAAATCACGAAGATGGTTACTTATGGGGACTGGACAAGATGATAGAAGTTTGGACAWTGAAATAAGCCTGTAATAGATAGTCGCGTGAAAGAACTAGATACCTGCAAAGTCTTTGCTGATTCATCAAGATCCAAATTAATTGCTATCTGAATTGTGAGATGAAATTTCAAATGGTTTTCAAAACTGAGAATGGCTGACAAAAAAGATAGTAGTTAGGGTTATAGAATATATGAACTTGGAGCAAAATGTATGATTTAAAATGAAATATGAACTGCAGACCCTAAGGGAAAGCGATGAGAGGAATGTTAAGTGGAGTCATAGACAAACACTTCATATATTCAAAGGCAGTACTTAGAGACAGTCAACTGGTTTTCAAAGACAATATAAGAGTAAAAAAACACATAAACTACTATAAGAAGACATCAAGGACTGCTTAATACACAAGACAAGATGTAGTTTACCTATAACTAACAGTAGTGGTACATTTTGAAATGCCTTTGTTTTGATATTGGAGGAAGAAGAGAAACAGAAATAGCATCAAACCAAACAAAAAAGAAACTTTTTTCTGCAAAATGTAAAATAATGTACAGATGTTTTAATCAGAACAAATGATTAAGTAATGAAGATTCACTACAAATCAACATTTTGAAGAACTTTTGTTGTAAATCCAGTTGAATATGTTGATACAGTCGATAGTGAATRCTTTGCCAGGAAGAATTCTGGTTGTACAAATTATTTGTATATTTTTGATCAAGAAATTATTATGATGTAAATCTTTCACTTATATGGATATATAATTAATTGGAGTAGAGGTACAAGTGCCTGTTAAGTTATAATGAATTAAAAGCAAAACATTTTTTGACATAAAATTGTGTTATAATGATGCACTTTATAAATTGGTTGATTAGAACCACACACAAATGAAGGTGAAGCCCCAGAGAAACAATAAATAGTCCTTTTTGTTTCACTAGAGCTTCATCTTAACATTTTTTGTTTATTGCTGTTGATGTTTTTTGTGCATGTCCATTCAATTAGAATTTTGAAATTGAGTAATTCCTTTTAGAGCAAAAGTCCTTATAATGTCACTCCTACTTCCAACGTTTGGTTGTCAATCATGTATAAACAACCAATCATCAAATAGAATTTCATGAGTGACAGGCATTGAGATGTTCAAGAAATTCTTTCAAACATTCTAAAATTAGGGTCAAAAGATAAGCAGTACCATGTCATGACGGAATTCTGTTAATTGCAACTTATTTTTAATTATAGACTTTCATAAAGTCCGTTTTTTGATCATTCCGCACCTCCAGTCCATGTCACTTCCCCCTCAATATTCACCCATTCTTGGGAGAAAAAGAGAGTCTGACTTGGGCAAGTTTACTTTAATGATTAAAAAGTAACATTAAGAACAAAATAAACTGCAAATTTATAATATTATATTGTACCTCTGAAAGCAAAACATGTTTTCAGCACTTAACTAGCAATACATATAAATGGCTTACAGTTGTATGAAATGATTTTAATAAAAGGGTAGTAAAATTATTTCCTTAACCTTTCCATATTGCCATATGATAAGCATGACTCTTGCACAAGCATTGCCTGACATGTTTTTATGCCACTAACAAACTCTAATAAAACCAGAACAATCATACATATTATAAAGACTCAAAAATAAAAACATAATAAGCCTGAAGAATGAAGAAATCACTTGGAAAACATTGTACAGCGGTTGAAAAATAACAACTTCAAAAAAAAACATGGTGTCATATTACTAATTCCAGAAAATAAAAAGTTAATCACAAAAAATGATGGTAGTTCATCTTGATTTTGAAAAGATAATGAAATTCGATAATGAAATAGAGAGGAAGATGCTTTACTTACACTCATATCAATTAGACAAAAATATTGTGAATAACTGAAAATCCTTTTGAAGAAAAGACCTAAATCATTTATGTGTTATTTTGCAAGGCTTCTGAAACTATCATCACAACATTTCTACATAACTACCTGCCTTCAAGCTCTATCTTTTCACCAATATACAAAGATTCACAAKAGTCTAGAGTAATCCAAGTGCACTGTCTTCATTCTTCAGGCTTTTTTTGTCATAAATCATCTCCATTTTCCRTCGCCGGAGTTACTAGTCCTTCTTCATCATTACTTGAACCCTCTAGAACTTCACCTGATCCAGATCCATCACTGTTGATAAGACCAGTGTCTGCAGTAGTTGAAACTGCTGCAAAAAGATTTAGGATATTTATGAGATTTTTAAAAAAATATTACTATCTCTTTGCAGGCCAAGAATTAAAGAAAAATCATTAAGCATTTCATACTGATGATGGCAGATGTACTGCCAAGACCCGTGTCTAGAAAGTCAAAAATGTTGATTGTTATCTTTCTCAAAGTTATAACTATCCTGATAATTCTTAGACTGTTGAAAAAAACATATGCTTACTGTTTAATAAAGCTGATGACATTATACGTGGAATGGATGCAAACTTCTGCTGTGCTTGTCTTGCTCTAGAAATGAATATAAATTATATGTTTTAGCATAACAACTTCATAGAAGTCTTGGGTTGCCTGTGTAGAACTTACAAAAACATTTCAGTTGTTGCTCGCTTGACAAGTGATGAATTTTGCATTGTTAAACTTCTAACTGTAAAGAAAAGAATTGAATTCAATAAATTTAGGTTCAAGTGGAAAACACGAGTATAATGAAAACAAMATTTGTGTTGTTATGTTGCTACCTTGTGTTTGAAGCACGGTCTTGGAAGMCACTCTACCCAATTTGCTACCCTGAAAAATTAACCAAAAATYAAACATGAAATGAAAGCGATACGGSCGTTTCGTTTGCAATTATTCTAGGTTGTGAAAATAATCAATTTCTTACCTGTCTTAGTAATTTTGAGGCATCAACAAAAGCTTTCCTGTAAGCCGCCATCTTTGATTCTTCACGTGCGCATAAACTGTTATG